AGGTACGGGCGACGACATGTGGAGAGGATATTCTTCTCGAGTTGCTCGATGTACCCGCCTGCGCTCGATTCCATTCCAGGGCCCACAAAGAAAATATCGGTCTTTTCATTTCAGGAGCCGCCGGTCCATACCATCAACCCGCGCCTTGGCGACTGCGGTGAAGATGATATCCTGGACCGTAGCGACGTTGTCGGAGCTGCTCGATGTTGGAGGTCTTCCAGATCAAGAGTATTGGTCTTAGCTTTCCATGCGTGCATTTATGCGAAGAGTTTCGAAGGTGCTTGGGGGTGACGTGAATTCCAGAGGCCTTTCCCAGTCAGGCTGCGATTGGAGATGACTTCATATTTTGGTGTACATGAAGGTGATGGGCGAGAGCCAGCTCCTGCTTATCGAGGAACATCTTGGGTATCTTCCGCCCTGGTACTCGTATCCACGTCCTCTGTCTGGGCTGCGAAAACTTTGCTGATATGTGACTCGGTCGAAGTGTATTTTTTGCCCCCCCCCCCTGTAAACCGGTTTCATTTTAAACGACGTTTCCAAACCACATTCAACTCTCTTATCAATGCCCCACTAGACACTACTGCAAGCCCCGCCCCCACAGCTACGCCCACCTTTCAGCATAGACGTGGTTTCTCAAACTTTATTCTATAACTTTTGTCTTTGCGAAACTTTTGCACTTTTGCTATCTCGCACATAGACCAGCTGGAAAGGGCTGTACATTGGCTTATAGGCAATCCCGCACACTTTTGAAAGGATTTGTTGCAAAGTTCGACTTTTCATACCGTGTTCAACTTTGTTAATTTAACACTTATTCCCCACAGAATGTAGGTTCTTGTAGACGCGCATTCGAGCACTGGCACTGATTCCGCCTCCTGACCACGATCACTTTTACGGCTTTGATTATTTTCGCGGCGCTGAGTTTTGATATTTTTTTGAAATCTTTTGCACTCTCGCTCAACTCTCGCTTGGAACAAACTTTGCCTGTTTCGAGTGACGAGCGAGTTTCTTGCATGCAAGGTGAGACTCTATCCTGCCGAAGTGCATCATTTATAAAGTGGGCGGGGCTTCTCCAAAGTGAGCGGAGCTTTTCATAGTGAGCGGAGCTTCGCATAGCAGTCCAAAGCAAATG